GCAGCCAGTGCCACAGCAAGCACCGGTTCCACCTGCAGTGACGACGACAGTTGGTTTGGACCCACAGCTGCAGCAGTTGATGCTGAATATGATGCAGATGCAACAGCAGACGCTCCAGGTCATGATGGCGAGGATGGACGCAGATGAGAGAAGAAGGCGAGAAGCTGAGGCTGCCTCTGCAGCTGTAGCTGACCCCTTTGGTTCGACGGCTGCGGCTGGAAGTCCGTCAGCTAAAGCTACTGCTCCTCCACCTCCAGCGCCTGCTGGTCCGTCTGTGCACGTAGGAAGCAACAGAGCTGAGAAGTACCTCCCTGCTTTGCCCACCATCGACGCTCCATCGATGGGAAAAGGGCGTGTGAAAGAGCTGGAAGAGTACCACCGTTGGTGTGAAGTCTTGGCGTCATGGTTGGCGCTCATAGACGACAACTACGTCAACGAGTTGCGCCAAGCAATGGTGCACAACAGGGAGATCAAGCAGTCAGAGATGTCTGCTCCTGTGGCTTCGAGGTCTGCTCGGTTGTTTTACTACCTTCAACAGAGTTTGCAGAAGTTTGAGAGAGGCATGGAGCTTGTGAGAAGCACGTCCATGCGGCAAGCTCAAGCTGCTTGTGGGTACGAAGTCATGCGGCAAATGCATGCGACTTTCAGCATTGTCTCAAGAATGGAGGCAATTGCAGTGAGAGATGAGGCCCTGAAGTTGCCTGCCAGAGCCCGAACCTACAAGAGGCCACTTGATGTGGTCCGGTTCTTGGAGGATGAGCTGGGCAAAGTGGATCAGAAGCTCCATCGTTTTCCGGAGCTGAAGCCCGGCGGCTCGGATCGCCTAACCATTTTGCTTCAATCTGTCAACCCTGAGTGCCGGCATTACGTTGTTTTGCACGGCAAGTCTGGAACTTGGGAAGAGCTTGTGACGAGCATCCGGTTCTTTGAGGAACAGACCAGGCTTTGCGACGCTGGAGCCCTTCACGCTGTTGGTGACAAGGGTTTGTGTTGGAACTGCGGCAAGGCTGGTCACTACAGTTGGCAGTGTCCTGAACCACCGAAGGGTGGCAAAGGAAAAGGCAAAGACAAAGACAAAGGCAAGGGTGGAAAGCCCTCTGGTGGTGGCGGTCGAGGAGGCGAGCCCAAAGGAAAGGGCAAAGGCGACAAGAAGGGCGAGAAGGGCAAGGACAAAGGAAAGTGGGGAAAGCCAAAGGCGAAGCCGAAAGCGAAGTCCAAGGGACGCGCTGTTGAAGACGAGCCGTCGGAGCAAGTGATGGCCTTGAGATTTCATCGTCTCAGGGGCATGCGCCCAGGGAAAGCAGTGAAGAATGAGCCCAATGATGCTGAGCCCCCACGTCTCACCATGACGGATAAGGAAGTAGAGAAGCTGAACCAGTCCTCTTCGAGGAACAGTCACTTTGCGTGGCTTGTTGATAGTGGAGCCACGTGCCACGTGTTGTCTGTTGCTTCTTTGTCGTTTTACGAAGTCGTGAAGGAGCATTCGGGACCGCTGCCTGTCTTGATGAGTGCTAGCGACACCGAGATGGAATGCCTCGGGTTGGTCGATATCCGTGTGAAGTTTGGGAGGCTAGGGCCTGTAGTGCTTCAGAAGGTCCTGGTTTGTCAGATTGGTTTCAATGTGATCAGTTCTTGGCAGGCGTCGCTTTCGGGTTGGTGTTCTTGGTTCACTGCCACACCCGGAGAGAGTTGCTTGATGAAGCAGAATGGGAAGGGTTCCTGGGTTTGGGTTCCCTTAGAGACGGAAGCCAGGAGCTGGTGGGCAATGGCCCAGGAGATCGTCCCCGCGAGAGCTAAGGCGAAAGCGAAGTCCAAAGCAGGAGTGCCCAAAGGTACCCCACCGAAGTTTGGGAAAGAAGACGACGACACGGGAGATGCAATGGAAGTGGACCGCGCCAAGGAGAAGGCGCATCCGAACAAGCATCCGCAGAGAGCTTTGGAAGTGACTCCTTTCAAGTTCTTGTTGCGAGCCTTTTGCAGTGAGTTTTCGTGCGAGTGTGTTTCTGCAGCAGAAGTAGCAGCTGAGACTGAGGTAGTGCCTGCAGTTTGTTCTGAAGAGCTGTGTGCGGGTTGTGTGGTAGGTTCTGAAGTCTGTGTTTCGTCCGCAGCTGTTTCGCTTAAGCAAGCAAGCACCACACACACCGAAGCATGCCGTAGGAGCGGTAGGAGTGCGAGTGCATGTGTGAGTGTAGAGCCTTTGCCGCCAACGCCTCAGAGTACTGTGAGAGCCTGTGGTTCGGAAGCTGCTTCAGTGGAGGTTTGCGCAGGGTTTTCGGAAACTGCCTGTAGGAGTGAGTGCGCAGGGTTTTCGGAGACTGCCTGTAGGAGTGAGTGTGCAGGGTTTTCGGAAGCTGCCTGTCGTCCGGAGTGTGCAAGTGCAGGTGCATTAGGGACACGTAAAAGCAAGCATAAACGTATCTCTTCTGCCGCGGTTCTGTCTCGAGCCTTGCGGTGGGTGATTTTTTCTCTATGGAGTCATCTCCGTTACGACGGGGACTGTGTGTCAAGAAGAGGGCCCTTTTGCTCCAGATGCCGTCGGAAGGGGTCGCTCAGGAAAAGGAGCCGGCCCAGATGATGGTTATGTCCGAGAGATGGCAAGATCTCACAGCGATGCAGACAGCGGCATCCAGCAGGCGACAGCAGTTGGTGCAGAAGCTGCAGCTGAGTCGCAGCGTGGAGCAGAGGCGAGAGGCCGAAGAACTAGTGGCAATGAACAGATGCGATTCGAAGGAATTGCTCCACCGGGGATTTCACTCCCTAACTTCTCCGGCCTTGCCTTCTGGAGAACCTCCCGCTCCCACTCAGGAGGGCAACGAGGCCGACGATTGGGGGAAATGGAAGGCGGTGCCAGGCCCTCCTGCGAGCCCGCCTCCACCGGGGACGCCTGTGGTGCCGCCTGGACCCCCGACGCCGCCCGAGACACCACCGGAGACTCCTCGGGAGAAGAAGAAGAAGGACAAGAAGAAGGAGAAGAAGAAAGGCTCCAAGGAGCGCCGTGCACGAGAAAAGGACCAGGTCGCCGAGGACAAGAAGGACCACAACGAGGGCGAGAGAGACAAGGCCGCCGAAGGAGTGGCTTTGCTGAGCGAGCAAGAGCTCAAGATGGTTGCCGCCAGCAAGAACTTGGCGGAGAAGGAGCGAGCGTCGGCAGCGGCGAAGGCAGCCGCCAATGTGGACGCCCCAACAGAGGGCACGCAAGGAGGCAGAGCTCCAAGCAGCCCTGCTTGCTCAGGAGCAAGCCGCTGCTACAGTTCGTTTGCTTACTTTGGAGTTACAACTTGGGGATGCCCTTGGTGCCCCCGAGAGTTCAGCGGCCCCCGAGGGAGCCGTAGAGTCTGGGACTCCTCCGGAGTTACCAGCCAGCAGGCGGATCAGCCTGTCGTCTTCGAGTGTGGAAGCTATCACTCCTCCAGGAACGCCTCCGACAACGCCGGTGTCGCCTGGATCTGCGGTTCCAAAGACACCCCAACGATCACCTTTGGTGAAAGCGATGCCCAAGGTTCCGGAGAGCCCTGCTTCTCAAGCTGCTGAGCCTTGTTGCTCCAGCTGCTGCGGGGCCTGTTGCTCAAGCTGCTGCGAGGCCTGCGGTTCGAGTTGCTTTGAGGCCGCCGGTCCGAGCTGTTCAAGTGAAGGCGATGCCCAAGGTGGGGCAGGTGCCGGATGTTGGGCACATGGGACCTCCAGCGCCGCCGATGGTTGGGCCAATGGGCCCTGTACCACAAGCACCGCAGGTTGTTGGGAAGATGCACATGTTCCCGCCGGCGCCGCCCTTCTTGGGGTACATGGGACCAGTGCCTCCAGCACCACCGCCAGGATACCGAGGCATTTTCAATCCGTGGTCCACCGGGCCGTTGCGCCAGGTGTTTGGAGCTGTGGGCCAGCATGTGACGCCCATCACTCCGAGTGTGTCGGTTGTGCCTCAAACTCCACCGCCCCGCCCTACAGTGAGACCTTCAGTCAGGCCGTCAAAAGCACCACGGCCAACAGCAAGGGCAACTCTAGCCAAAGAAGAGAGATCGATCACCTTCGATCTGAGGCGGTGTGTTTCTTCTGAGGTTTTGGCCTCAACCTTAGGTTCGAGGCCCGTCATCCTCAAAGTGAGCTCTTCTGTGTCTTCCCCGAAAAAGGTGCAAGAGTGCGGTGCCAAAGTGGTAGGCAGTCTAGAGTGCAGTGCCGAAGCTGTAGAACGTCTAGAGTGCAGTGCCGAAGCGGTAGGTTGTCGTGAGTGCAGTGCTTTAGGAGAAGGTAACCTCGAGTGTGGTGCGGTAGGTGCGTGTTGCTTGAGTGTTCCCGAAGCTACGCCCTACCCGAATGGATCCACAAAGTGTCTCGCTCTGCCCAGGTGTTCCTTAGAAAGATCGTGTGCCGCAGCCTTGTTCAGGGTTATTTCAAAGGTTGCGGGGTTTCGCTTTTGCGTGCTGCTGACAGTCTGTGCTGTAGCTGTGGTAGTGCGTCGAAGCGGGGGTCGTAGGAAGCTGCGGTTCGGAAGCCGTAGGAGACACAAGTGGGTGCGAGTAACTTTGAAAGGTCGGAATCCCCGTCGGTGTTTCCCCTGGAGAGTCCAACGGCCGATGATGAGAAGGTTGTTGTGCTTGGTCCGCAAAGTGCTTAAGAAAGTTGCTGCCTTGCGTGGGCAGCATAATGAAGAAGCACCGCGGATTCCTGAGGCCCCACATGTTGTGCGTGAGCATGTTGTGTCCGAGCGTGTTGTGCATAGGGCGCGTATGCTTGCAGGTCTGCCGGTTGAGATCACTGTTGATTCTGAAGAAGAGTTGTTGCCAGACCCTGACCCGAAGCCTCGACCTCCCGGCCCTCCTGACCCCGAACCGCGTCCCGAGCCGTCTGGTTCAGGTTTGTCTCCTCCTGAAGACCTTGAGGTTCCAGTATACATTACTTCAGAGCGTTTGCGAGCGCACCGGAACAAAGGGCATCAGCCCTATCTGAGTTTCTGTGATGTGTGCCAGTCGGCACGTGGTCGTGTGCCAGCACGACGCAAGAACATGAAGAGCCACTATGCGCCGGGAGAGCTTCAAGTAGATTTTGGCTTCTTCGGTCGAAATGTTCGGTTTCTGTTGATCGTTCACGTCCTGTCGGGATACTTGAGTACTGTTGTTTTGGGTCCTGAGGACCCGGTGCCTGTACCAGCCGTTTGCAAGGCTCTTTCTGAGATGGGCCTCAACGGGCTGGACATTGTGGTCCACGGTGACCAAGAAAACCTCCTGGAGAGTGTGTTCCGGGATTCTGCGAAGCATAGGACGTTTGTAGGACGGTCCATGCATTGGGTTCCGTTTGCAGTGAACAGGCCCCAGGCAAAAGGCATTGTTGAGCGTAACGTTTGCCTCGTGAAAGAAGCGTTTTGGTCTGTTTGGCTAGGACTGGAAGAGCGTGTAGGAGGGCAGCTGCCGTTAGGGAGCTACTTGTTTATTGAAGCCATGCGGTATGCTGTTAGGATGCATAACTTGTTTCATGTGTCCAAGGAGCAAAGCACGCCTCTGGAACGCCTTAGGGGCTCTACAGTCCAAGCTGTGAAGAGTTGTGAGTTTGGGGTGGTAGGCTTTGGAAAGCCACAAAAGGACTATCCAGAGCATCGAGGAAAGCGCCTAGTGAGGGCGATTTACGTTGGGCCCCATGGCGCCAACGGCTCTGGGATACGTGTCTTTGTTCCCTTAGGAGATGGGAAGCCGCCTCGTCTGGAGATTTTCAGCTCGTTTCGTGCCCGGGACCCGGTAGAGTTTGACAAAGCAGTGCTAGACCAACTGAAAGGAAACCGGGAGGACCCCGAGCGACCCATCAAGTTTGATGTGCCTCTGGATGCACCTCAGCCCTCAGCCTCCTCCTGACCCTCCGGCGTTGCCTGATGGTAGTCTAGAGTTCCCTGTGGGACAAGCAGAAGAGCCTGGAGCTCCTGATGCGATGGAGGATGAGGATCTAGCAGATTATTCCCCCTCTCTTCCTGCTGATGGTGAAGGGATGGATGTCGAACCTCCTCCTGGTGGTGTCCTTGATGAGGATGATGTTGAGATGGGTGATGGTGAAGATAATATCATGGATGATGGCCTGACCTGGCTGTACGAGTATGGTCTTCGCCAGCTCTATGAAGGACCTGACCTTCGTGTGACGCAGAAGCTGAGGAGGGGAGATAATCCCGCTGAGTGGTTCAGTATGAAGTTTGGAGGTAGAAAAATCTGGGTACATGTCCCAGATAACGCGGTGTGTGAAGTTTCAGGGAAGGTTCTCGCTAGGAAGCATCTTGAAGAAGGGATGAAGCTTGAGCTGTCGGAGTTAGATGCCTTTGGTGTGGCAACCGTGATTGGAGAAGCTGAGGCCCGGAAGAAGGCCGTGCGAAGAATCCACACCACTCGTTGGGTTCTAACTTCCAAACCCTCTGTGACAAACCCTGACCGTGTGAGAGCGCGTTTGGTTGTGCGTGACTACGCGCTTGGATCCAGCCCTCTGGCTGACGGGATCTATTCCCCTACGACCTCCTTGGAAGCTTTACGAGGTGTCCTTGCTGTGCACGCGGTTCGTGGAGGAACGCTGTTGTCTGCCGATGTTTCGGTAGCCTTCATGCAGGCGCCTGTCCAAGGTGTTGAGTGCATCCGTTTTCCGAACGGGATGTATGACGATCAGGGCAATCCGCTTTTTGCTCAGTTACACAAAGCCATGAATGGCTTGCGGGTTGGGCCGTTGAGTTGGTACTTGGAGTTCACCAACACGTTGCGTGGGCAGTTTGGGTTTGGAGAAACTGCGGACCCTACTGTGCACCACCGTCTCGAGAAAGACGGTTCTTTGACCTTGGTGCTGGTGTATGTTGATGACTTGATCATCTTCTCCCAGAACTCAAAGATTGCAAAGGAGCTGTATGCTCAGTTGGCCAAGATTTACAAAATGAAGCAGACTGGGATCTTGGAGCCTGGAAAGAAAGGGCAACTTGAGTTTCTAGGAAGAATTATCGTCCGTGTGACGGACGCTGGACCTGTGTTGTTCGGCTTGAAACCGGGCTACTTGAAGTCGCTTGGTGAAGAGTTTGGGATCAGCGGAAAAGGTGTGAAGCCTGTTTTGGGAAACCTTGAGAGGGAGTACCGGAAGAAGGAACCTGGAGGTTCAATAAGCACTGAGTCGTACGAAAGGTATCGACGTGTGCTTGGGAAGCTCATGTGGGCCAGTCTCACGCTTCCTCACCTAGCTTATCCTGTTGGGTTTCTAGGTCGTTTTCAGAGTGATCCTGACAGCCAAGCCGAAGCCTGTTTAAGAAGAGTTGTGCGTTGGGTGATGGCGTTGCCTGAGTACCTTCAGCGCTTCTCTGCGTTTGGCTGGGTCGACCAGAGTTTTGAGTCGGAGACCTTGCTTTCGGGGTATGTGGATGCCTCGTGGAACGTGTGTTCAGTGTCTGGTGCCATTGTCCTTTGGCATGGCATGATGATCAAGTGCTTCTCAAGGAAGCAGTCAGTGACTGCCTTAAGCTCAGCTGAAGCAGAGCTGGCCGCGCTTACTGAAGCTGCCAAGGAAGCTGTGTACCTGTCCCTGCTGTTGGAAACGCTCCTTCAAGGCCTGCCTGCCGGTGACACGGGATCGTATCCCATTTACCTGTCGTCTGACAGTGAAGCGGCATTGTCTATTTCGAAGATGAAAGGCCTGCTGCGTCGAGTGCGGCATTTGGAGTTGAGGCATCGGTACTTGCAAGAGCTTGTTCAAAGTGAGAGACTGCGTCTCACATTCATCCAAGGATGCCTGAATCCGAGCGACGGACTCACAAAGAGTCCTGAAGAAGCTATGCTCCAGCATCTGCTGGAGGCTTGTGGACTTGAGCGGATCTGTGAGGAAGACTTGCAGACACTGTGTGTACCTGAACAACTTCGAGAGAGAGTGGAGGAACTTGAGAACCTCCACGAGAAGCTTGAAGAGCTTCCGGAGAACTTACTGAAGTATCGTCCAGTAGCCGTTGATTTGGCTATGGGGGTTGTTCCTTTGCTGGTGGTTGAGCTGTTCTGTGCCCGTGATAGTGCGTTGTGTGCAGCGTGCAAGCGTGAGAGCGTTGCTTACATTGGCATCACTCAGGAAGAAGACTTCTTGAGTAAGAACACACAGTTGTTTTTAGGAGAAGTTCTGCTCTGTCTGTTGAAACGAAATCCGCCCAAGATCTATATCCATGTAGCGTCGCCGTGTACTGCAGGTTGTAGTTTTCGGTTTAAGAACTGGCACAAACCGAAGTTTCGCCATCGCTGGCGTGAGCAGATGAAGAAGCATGTTGCTTCGTGGAAAACGCTAGGAAAGCTGTTGCAGAACCACTGCCAGGACGTCCTGCTGACTCAGGAGTGGCCAAAGACCTGTGGACTTTGGAAGGAAGAAACGTACCAAAGAGTGAAGAAGTCCCTTGGCCTATCCTTTGGACGAGAAGTAGACCGATGTGCTTTTGATTTGGTCTATAAGAGATGGTGGTTTGCCTGCAACTGTTCGGAGTGGTGTGAAATCTTCTCCGGGAAATCTTGTGACAAGAATCATGTGCATGTTGCTCCTGAAAGTCTTGAGGCAACCGGTTACTACCCCACCAAGCTAGGTAGGGCTCTTTTGCGTGCTGCTAAGCGAGTCTTGAAAGTAGCCGTAGAAGGGACTGCCGTGCGGACGTGTGCCGAGGATGACGAACAGAGCACTTAGCCTAAAGAGCTGTGCTTACACTGTTGCGCTGAGGCATTACAGTCCAAGCGGGGGTGTGAAAGTTCATGTTTAAGACATGTTACTTTGGTTGTCCTGCATGCCTGCTCAGGTGTGAGTCGTTTTAGCTGAAAGTTTTGCCTTGGAGGCTTGACTGACGAGCTTGCTTTCAGTGGAAAGCCTTTTGAAGTGCTTGAGAGTGTAGGGAAGTGTTTTTCCTTGGTGTAACTACGTTTGGAGTGACTGTGTAGCTGTAGTTCTGCTTGCGCTAGTTTTGAGTAGGTCCCGAGAACTCCCACTGACGTTTGAGTTTGTTTTGCAGTTGTGGAGAACACGTGGCTGAGCAGTGTTTCACTTGCAGTGCTATGGCACATGGAATATCTGTGGCCAGTTGCACAGACAAAGCCTCCGGCTGCTGACTTTGGCTCAAGCCGTGAGAAAAAGAGGGTTCAGCGCGCTGCTGCTGTGTTTTCACAACCTTGGCAGAAGCGCGGAAAGGCTCTCACTGTCGACACGCATGTTTCGCTGATACTTTTGCGTGTCCGTGATAGTGGCACGGAACTCATCCTGTATCAAATTCGTGGAGAGTCGAATTCGCTATCTCATCTCCAGATTGGCGTTCTGCAGAGGCTTCTTTCGAGTGTCGCCGATCAAGTGCATCGCAGTTGACACATCGCTGTTCAAGAGGAGCGTGCGCGGAACGATTCAAGGCGCCATTCGCTTGGACATCTATCGAAAGGCTTGTTGCCGGGATTACTGGCAAGGAGGCTCGATGTGGCGTGCAAGATTTCTTCAATTCGCAGTCGATCCATTGTGCAACCACGTTGTCAAGCACGGAGCGGTATTCGCCACGTGCCGCGAAAAGCCACTGTGTATGCATGATGGTTGATCCACTGCCAACGCGCTACCGAGTTTGCTTGTCACGTGCATATCTCTCCCCCTTTTACACAGGGGGACAATCGAGAGACCGGGAAGTCCTCAGCTGCCTTATTGCAGGATTTTCGTGAAGCTGGAACTCGGTCAGCTTGTTTCATTCGAAAAGCTCGTTGAGCTACTCAGCATGACTTCCGTAGTGTTCAACCTGGAAGGGATTCACAGGATCGGCAAAGAACATTCCGTCAGGATAGTGATCGGCTTGGTGCAAGAGTGGCACATGTGGAGACCAACCGGAAATGAAGCTCCGCACATGGGGCAGTCGAAGCTAGCGAGCGGCTACGTCTTCCGCTTGTAGTTTCCTTGCTCGGAGCCAGTGCCAAACTTCGTACCTCCAATTATTTGAAGGCCGTGTTGAACACTAGGTCACTAGGGATTCCGAGTCCATGAAGTACATTCGATTTTTGTCCGTCCGGGCAATCTCCATGATGCATCGAAGAGCAAGCTCGGATGGTTCATCGTTCTCATCCAGGAAATTTGTCTGGAGAAGAATCCGGCCACTGGTTTCTCCGGCGTTGGCCTTCATGTATTCCCTCTCACGCTCTATAAACGCCTCTCTCACAATCCTGAGGGCGATTCTACGGTCCACCGGCAGCAGTGGAAGGACACTTCTTCGTTTGTGTCAGCACTCGGAACATCAGCTTCCGCATTAAATTGATCATTTCTGCGTCCGGAATCGTGGCAGCGAATGTTTTGTGCGTCGTCGATAAGCAATGGACTGCATGACACAGATGTTCTGCCGACAGATCGGTATTTGGCCTCTCTGGCATTGCAGGCCCGGACAGCGTCATGAATGTCGCGTTGAGGGAATGTGCGGATGGAACACAGGGAGAGTTGACATGCTTGTAACCATGGTATGGCTGACAAGACCAGCATCTCAGTTGATAAGCACGCGTAAATCGGTCGCTGGCCCTGAAGATTGCTGTTCGATTCGACCGGACGCCTGCCTTGGACCGGTTCGTGACAGCGTCGAGCGCATAGTCACCCGGAGGGTCCATGGCACCCTGGAACATTGTCATCGCGAATGTTCGAGCTAGCAGCCCAGGCAATGGATCGGCGTTTTCAACGCCTGTGGCACCCTTCGCCACTTCAGCAACATGTGCTTTCATCTTTGCAGCCTGCTCACAGCGAGTCTCAGCCTCACTGGAAAGCCGCAAGCGTGAACATCGAGCAGACACTCCAGCGGAACGCGAACTGCGTGGTCTTTTGACGGGCATGAGCGAAAATTTCTTCCAGATGATTCCAGGCGTGCGCATGACGTCTTTCGCACGACACAGAGCTCTTATCATAGCTCAGACTCTGTCTTGGGTGACCTGCTTACCTTGGAATTGCGCTGCCGGATTGACGCACACCAGACGTATTCCACGGTTTAGACCCTACCCTGGTCAGACTGTGCGCGATGTTTGGAGGAATTGACCGCCGGCAGCCAATCCACCACAGGATTCGCACACTGTGGATCGTCTGTCCCGATTTTGGTTCCGGAGCGAAGAGCTTCAGGTCCAGCGGTGTTCGAGTCGTTGCGACTCCGGCCAGAAATGGCCCGCGAACATTGGACTTTTGGACTTTAGTGTGCTCGATCGTGACGGAACAAAGCGTAGGGGCTGTTCGTTGCTGGCAAGACTAGAACGGCTGCCGGAGCTTGGACTTGGCTCCACCTGTTGCTTTGGGCAGCTCAAACCGACGGCTCTTTGTTGCTCCGGCAAAGCCTGTGCGCCGCAGCCCTTGTAGAGCTTCGCTTTTGGTCTCACCGCTTTGTAGTTTTTGTTGCTTGTTTGTAGTCTGTTTGTTTATAGGGACCGAGTACTACAGCCGTGGTCGACAAGGCCCATTCACGCCAAAAAAAAGTGAACATCGAGCAGATACGAGTACACAAGACTCCAATCGTCTTGGACTCGTGCATGACGTGATATCCCCTTAGAAACGGCAGTTCCTCCAGGATAGCGTCAAATGACAGGGTCAGAGTGAGGAAGTTGAACCTTCTGATCGTGTTCCAGATCGTCCTCATCTTCCTCCACCACGTTGCCTCTATAGAATGCAGCGACTCGGATCCCGTATGAAACGGTTGTTTTGTACAAATCGGAGGGGTTGGGTCCCTTATTTTTATAAGGCGCTGCTTCCTAAAGATTTCCGGTGGAAAGTTGCTCGGTTCCATAACTGCTCGGATTGGTTCCATGCCAAAGTTTGGCCATAAAATCTTCATGACCGAGAATCCAACATTGTTGTTGGTGATATCACTCGTTCGATCCAGCTTCAGTTTTTCGGATTAAAATTATGGACGGATTCGCAACTCTTTAGCCCTGAAGCACCAGCCGTAAACTCCGTGTCTGGTGCCCTGAAGATTTCCAGTTGCGTCGATGCTCGGTTTCGTGACTGCCCGGATTGGTTCCATCCCAAATTTTTGACTTTAAACCCAAACTCAATCCCAAAAGTGGCATTAAATTCTTTCTCACCCGAGCTATAAGCTGCGCAGCGGATCCCTTTCAATTCTTCCATCATGATCACGGATTTCCAGAAGTGCACAGAAACAGTAAACAAATCGGAAGTGGTGAGTGCTTCAAAAAACGTTGACTCCAACTTTAAAAATTCTTAGTTGTTGGAGTGCTCGTTATGCTCACATCGGAGACGTTTTCTTGTTCTTTGAAACATATTCGAATGATCAGTTCTTCGGTAATCATGCGGTCAATCGACTCAGTTGCAGATTTGAAACATTGACGGACCGCAAACTCCAAACCCCTGAACCACCAAACCAAGAGACTGTAGGCTATGCAGAAGGCAAAATTTAAACTCTTAGGCTGTGATTCCAGAAACCCTTAAGTTCGAATCCATAACCGAATCCCACCGTAAAGCTCAAACCCGCTTAGTTAAGACCGCGCTACACCTTCGAACCTCCACCCCAAAACCCAATTTTGGGGGTTTCTGGGTTTTGGGCATTTGAAATGCTTTGAGAGTTTGGAATGGTCGTAGGTTTGTTGAGATTTGGGTACTTGGAGCTCGAGGTGTAGGGTTTGCAGGCTCTTTGGGGCTTTGGACTTGGGCTTCCGGATTTCAGGGTTTTGGTTTCTAGGGTTTGGGGTTGCGTTAGAGTTCTGGAGCTTGGGGTATCTGCAATCCCTCCAAACCCAACTGCTTTCAGGAATCGTTTTTGGCGAAAACTTGTGTGGAGAGCTTCAAGTAAGGCTACCTTAGCCCATTTTCGGAGCTTTCGCTGCGGACCCGGGTTGGAACCGAGCACCTGGTCCCAACCCGGGTTGCAAAACCCGAAGTGCTCCATGGCCTTGCAATCTGCTGGAGCATCGTGCATATGCACAATGAGATTCCTTTCAGTATCCTGAGCAATGCGTCAGCTTGAGCAAATCGATGCCTGCTGAAGGGATGGCCCTGTCGCATTTTGTTTCGATGGGTCGCTTTGCCGTCAGTGGTGAAGTGTCGGGCGTAGCTTGTAGAACAATGCTGTTACAAGGTGCTCGCCTGCGTGGATTGCGGACATGTTGCAAGGTCTGCCGTGCTCGTGGATGTGGCAGGTGGTCCCAGTTCCTACGACCGCTGAATGTCTGCAACTTGAAGGACCCGTAGTTCGCCGTAGTTCAATTGTGTAAATACGGATTTTTGAAGTCTTTCATTATCTCGAAAAATTCAGGCATACCCAAAAGTACTTTGCTCAAACACTTTCAAAAAGGCTTCGCCTTTTTAGCCTGTACATGCTCCTTGCGATAAGGAGCAGCTCTTCGATTCGCCCATTTCATTTCAGGGGCATCAACTCGTGGCGATTGTCTTTGCATCACCAGGTCTGCTCGGTGTCTCCCATGTCGCGCTGCTTGCCATTTCATTCGGTCTTGGGGAGCAGAATCTGAAGCAAAAGACATTGCGCTGTGCAAGCTGTAGGCCTTCCAAGGACTACGAACTGCAGTGACACAGCTCGTCTTACATGAGACCTACCGGCTGACCGAATGTTTGCAGCTACAGGGCTCACAGCTTTTGTGCCGACACTGTTACTCAAGCTCCTGGTTGCCAGAAGGCTCGTGCTACTCTGCTCGATGGTTGCAATAAGAGATGCATGTTGACTGCTGTGC